GGAGAAGGGTGCAACAATGAATGAATGGAATCCCAAAATCTCTGTAGATGTTCATTGAAATGAAAAAATAAACAACCTAAATTTAAAAAAAAAAATTACCTTTTGAAAGTAAGACGAGTTGGAAGGCATAGCCTATGGGGAATCTCCCTGCTAACCCAGAGGCCTTACTGTTCTGCCGGTTCGAATCCACCAGTGGCTCCACAGGAGAGAGATTGCAGTCTCCTCCCATGCGATCTACAGCTTTGGAAACACGCTGGAGAGTCAGCTGTGAACCAGTTCTGAGTTGGCAGTAATGAGTTTAACTTCTGATCTTTTTTCAAATAGTAGATACTATATAAATTGCAAGTTGATGTGAATATGGGAGGTACTGGGAAATAAACTGTGTTCCCTAAGAGCCCGAGGACTACTGTTGTCAATTTCATGTGTTTCCTTCCAGAATTTTCTCTTGCATATATTTTTTTAAAAAGATTTAATTTAATTAATATCTTTCCCATGCCTTTCAGCATTATAACATATTATTTTCATAGCACTGGAAACTCTTGAAAATTATTACCTCTTTTAATGACTTTGACATACTTCTTTGATGGGTATAACATTTATTCACTCTTTAACCACTTTGGAAAATATTGGTTGATTTGTCCTCCTGTTCATTTTATGTTCTGATCAATGACCGCCTCTGGGCATACAAATAATATGTGTACCTTGACATTTTGGTGTGTGTCATGTCTGGCTTTGTTCTGGTCTCTGTGGGGACTGGGCCCTGGTCTCAAAGAATTTGGTCTAGTTTGGGAAATACAAACACAGTTGCTGGGCAGCCTATTCAGCCTCACGGTGACCTAATGTGTTTTCCAGCAGAAAACTGTGCTGTCTGGGGTTTGCACTTGATGGGTTTTCAGAAGTGGCTCCGTCACCAAGACTTTCTTCTGTGGCAACTCTGAGTGGTTTTGAACTGCCAGCCTTTGGGTAACAGCTTAGCATGTTAACTGCCAGTGCCACCCAGGGACGCGGAAACATAAACCTAGGTTTAGTCTTGAGCTCTTTCCTGTTTTCCTTTCAGATTTTTAAAATGAATGCATATATTTTCCTGCTTAATTAAAAAAGAAATCTAAGAAAGGATCAGCTTTTGATTAGAATTCATTTATGACACATACTCTAGAGTAATGAATATGTGTGTATGGTATTGGAGGAAAGTATGAAATATCCCCAAACTGCAAAAGAACAAACAAGTCTGTTTCAGAGGAAGTGCAACGAGAATGCTCCTTAGAGGCAAGAACGCGGAAACGCTATGTCACATACTTTCACTGAGTTGTCAAGGGGCCAGTCCTCGGAAACAGACAGCATGCTGGGAGAGGTGGAGGGGCAGCATGAGGGAAGACCCTCGATGAGATGGATTGACACAGTGACTGACAGTGGGCAGGCTGGAGACTGTGAGGGTAGGGCAAGGTTCAGATCTGCTGTCCATAGGGCCCCTACAGGTTGTGATAACCCCTAATCACAACAGAGTTATTAAAAATGAAAAGGAATTATTAATAACAGCAAATGTCATGGGAAGATCAAGTCTAAACAGCAGTTACTCACTTTTGAATTCCAGTAACTTGCATCAAACTGTTAATTTCCCCCTATTTGATTTAGAGGTGCTGATGGGAATAGATTGTTTTTCATGTAGCCCAACGTGTGTAAACACTCATGAAAAATATGGGCATTTGTACTTTTTCCCTATATTCTCAACAATAGCAACAACAAAATAAAGTTCAAGGGAAAAAAGAATGTAGGCATTCAATTATAGCATTACATAATTGTAGCATTATTACATTGGTGGCTAATTATCTGAATTGCTGTTCTGATTTCTATGGACTTGTGAAACCTGCTTTCCCATTGTTTTCATTTTTCTATTAAATTTGTGTCCTAGGGAGAAATAAATCCCCAAAGAATAACAACGTTTATAAAACCACGGCAGATTAGAAATGTCAGGGTACTGTGCTTTGTGCAAACCTGGGACAGGCCGATGGCTTGAGCCCTCCAGTGGTTCCCTGGGAGGGAGATGGACAGCTTCCTCGCATGCTGTTTACAGCCTTTGAAGGCGGTGAAGGTCCTTGTAGGCTGGAACTGACTTGATGGCAAGGAGCATCTGGGGTAGGGACTGCTGGATGCCAGGGATAATGGAATATACACTTTGCATCAGATTAGAATCAACACATAGCTGACCCTCAGGTGGGTGTTCAGAGGCTGTAAATCTCAAGAGAGGTGATCACCCATCTTTTCCCCCATGGAACTGCTGGTGGATTTGAACTGCTAGAGAGGTGCCACCTTTGGGTTAGCGTGACGTCCTGTGTATTACACCTCCAGAGCTCCCTCAGGGTCCTATGTTGTCATTGTTAGGTGTCCTCAAGTAGCAACCCTGTGAACAATGGATCTGAACCCTGTCCTGTCTTGTGCCATCCTCATCATCTCTGATATACTTGAGCCCATTGTTACAGTCATTGTGTCTATCTATCTTGTTGAGGGTCTTTCTCTCTTTCACTTACCCTCCACTTTTCCAAGCATGATGTTCTTTCCCAAAGACCAACCTCTCCTAAAAACATGTCCAAAATAGGTTGAGATGAACCTTCACCATTCTTGCCTCCAAAAAATGCGTGCTGTCCGCCCTTTCTCCATGACATCCTTGTTTGTTCTTTTAGAAGCCTATGGGACATTCAGTACTCATCTGAAACTCCCTAAATCAAATACAGCAGTTATTCTTCTAGCATCCTTAATCATTGCCCAACTTTCAGATACATAACAAGTGATTGAAAGACAATGGCTTGAATCAGGCACACCTTAGTCTTTAAATTGACATCATTGCTCCTTAACACCTTAGAGAGGTCCTTGACAGCAGATTTATCCAATGCAATATTTTATGGTTTTATTTTTTTTAAACTTCTTGACTGCTAGTACCAAGTATTAATTATGGATCCCAGCAAGAAGTCTTTGACAACCTCAGTCTTTTCTCCATCGTGATGTTGCTTAGGGTTACAAACAGAGTGAAATACATGGATATAGGGTATGTACACATAGAGAAAACAGACTGTCTGAAATAAGTGTTAAAACTCCAGACTTGTGAGCTATTTAGAATGAAATATACATACACCAGAGAGCCTAGCCTCTGTTAGAAATGAGTGCACCCGAGACGTCTGTGGAATCCCTGCAGAATGACTCGTGTTTCCTCTCTGTTCATTGCATCGCTGTTCTCTTCTTTCAGATCGATGACCCCAGCAGCAGCCTGGAGGAGGTGACTGAGGAAGCAGACGCCATCAGCTCAGTGAACAATCTGGGAAGCAGGCAAGCCCTGAATAGAGATTACCTGGATTCTGATTATCAAAGAGGACAACTGTACCCAGTCTCCCTCAGCAGTGATCTCCAGATGGCCGCATCCACCCTCACAAACACCGTACCCATGACCCCGTCCTTCAGGGAGCGTTGGCACATGAATCTCCACAGCCTAATGGACCGGGCTTTGGCGCCGCAGTGTGGCAGCGTGGAAGACTTATTTATCCTCACAGGCGTGATGCCTTCAGACCACAGAGTTAAAGACAAAGTGACAGTCCCTGTGTTCGTCTGGCTGGCAGCCTGTTGTGCTGGGCCCAGTGGCTGGGCTATGGGCTTCGTCAAGCAAACCCAGGACAGTGACATCATAGAAGATGTGATGGTGAAAGATCTCGAGAAACTGCTTCCTTCAAACCCTCAGCTGTTCCAGAACAACTGTGGGGAAACTGAGCAAGACACAGAGAAGATGAAGAAAATCCTGGAAGTAGTTAACCAAGTCCAGGATGAAGAGCGAGCGGTACAATCTAAAGCCAGCTCTGCTCCTCTCTCCAGCACCAGGAACCAGAGGTCTGCTCTGTTGTCACCAGAGGTCCTGGAGGAGAGTAGTAGTAGCCTTTTGGGGAAACTGTTGGGCTTCATTGTTACCCCATTCATCAAACTTGCCCAGTTAATGTGTTACCTCGTGATAGGAATCCTCAAGTATGTTGTCTACATTCTGTGGTACTTCACCATACAGGTGATAAATGGCATCGAAAATTGCCTTTACCACCTGGGCTCAGCCACTGTCTCCTACTTTGTGACCATTGGGGAGGAGTTGGTGAGCATCCCCTGGAAGGTGCTCAAGGTCATGGTCAAGATTACCAGGGCCATCCTCCGGATCCTCTGTTGTCTGCTGAAGGCTGTGTGCCGTGTCCTGGGCATCCCCGTTCGAGTCCTGGTGGATGTGGCGACGTTCCCAGTCTATACCATGAGCGCAGTGCCGGTCGTGTGCAAGGACATTGCTGTTGGCCTTGGTGGTACCATCTCTCTGCTCTTTGACACTGCTTTTGGCACCATGGGTGGTCTGTTTCAAGTGCTTTTTGGTATTTGCAAACGGATCGGCTACAAGATTACTTTTGACAATTCTGGGGAGTTATAGAACTTAAAAGAACAACAACCCAAAATAAAACACACACACACAAGACCCCAAAACAACAACCAACTGCTAGGGTTCAGCCACAGTAAATTTTACTTTATTTTGTCATAGAGAAATCTGGGATGTTTTTGTCTTCAGAACTTGGTTTCTGTTGAATCAGTTGTTCCATGTGACCATCACAGGTATTTGTCTGTCTGTCTCTCTGCTGAAGAAGAGAGTAAGTTTTAGGCTTGAGCCCAGGGGCGTGGTCAGGGTCAGACATGCAGGGGTAGTCTGCTGTGTATCCCTCCTGATATGAGTAAGCTTTCAAGACATTAGTAATGTCAGCCATTCGTTCTGATACTCTGAGCCATTTGCCCTGAGATACTCTGGTGTTGGTGGTCTGTGATACGTAAAACTTATAGGAGAGTGGGGAATTCAAAAGAAGACAACTAAAAGCAAAAGCTTTGCTGAAAAGAGCAAAAGAATCTGGCTTATTTCTTTTTATTCTCTGACATTCTAGGTGAAACTAAGTAAATATCCTTGGCCAATTTGCTAGCAACTGGTTCTTTTCCCCTCACTCAACTAAACTTGGTGAAATGTAGACAGTAGTTCTCTAGGAGATAGAGAAATAGAGAATCTGCTACGGGCTGGTTGTGGATATCTGATGTATAGACACATAAACAATTTGTACCTGCCCTTCATAAAGGGAGCTCCAGTGGCCTGCTGGTAAGGAGGTGTGCTGTCAACTCAAAGGCAGGCAATTTGGATCCACCAGTGGCACCTTGGGAGATCGATGGGCAGCCTCCGCCCGTGTGGTTTACAGCCTCTGACAACCCTCTGGAGGGTCAGCTGTGAGTCACTTCTAATTTGATGAGATATAACAACAACAGCAATAATTTTAATGTAATGTTAGTTTGGTCTTACTTTGAAACAGCCCCTACTCCAACAAATTCTTCATCACAATCACTTCCACTTGCAGCATGTGCTGCTTTGAAATGATTGGAACGTGTTGAGCCATTTCTTGCACTCAACCAACAGCACAAACCCCTGGTGGTTGAGTAGAGTCCAGTCCTCAGCGGCCTCCATCGTATTTCGGAAGCTGTAAATCTGTGGGCAGAGACTGTATGTTTTGCTCCTTCAGAGAGGCTGGAAGACTCAGACCACTGACTGACCTTTCATTAGCAGCATTATGTAATAGTCCACCACGCCCCCTTTTTCTTATACTAAAGTAAGGGTAATTAAGAATCGTTATGTATCTACCCATGTGCGAGATCATACTGCTGTACCCAGCCTTTCATTCGTTCATAGGACATGTTTGTTATTCTGAAAAACCAACGGAGGCCTCCACAGCAGCCTGAGCCCCCAACCCCCACCTTCCCCCCAACCCGGCACCATGCAAGGGGCAGAACATCCCAACCAAGCTTTTACAGAGATATTTAGAAACATCCTCTTTTCACGTAAGAATTTTTAGTGTCTATTTATTTATTTTTGGATGACCATTTTAGAATCTGGGACAGGAGAGCAAACCAAACCCTCAAAGCTAGCTGGCTGGGACGCTCCTCCGGGTGTTAGTGTTGGCTGTTTAAGGGGAACATCTGTGTTGGGCCTGGAACCTCACAGCTGACTGAATCACTGACCTGTGCCCAGTGGGCCACATTGGGCTGAGAGGAGAGAGTTGGGTTTACAGACCCCATAGCTGGCCTGAAGAATTTACTGTGGTCTTGTTATATCATGAAGGAGTCCTGGTAGTGTATGTGTAATGTATCCGGCTGCTAAAGGAAAGGTTGGAAGTTCAAATCCAACAGTTCTCTGTGGGAGAAAGATGGGCAGTTTCCTCTCGTAAAGATTTACAGCCTTGGAAACCCAATGGAGGATCACCACTTGGAACCCACTCGGTGGTGGCAGGGTTGGAGAGGGAAGCCACTGATTATGACAACGGAGCTGCTGTCCTATCTGTGGGCCAGTAACTCTTCTTCTCCCCTGTACCTTTTGAAATGCTATCTTCTCTCTCAGCATCAGTACTTCCCCATAAATACAGACTTGGGGTTTAGGGGAAGGAACTACCTTCTAGTACTCTTCATTCATTCGGTCATCCATTCACCTATAAAACGTGCTGAACCCTTGGTGTAACAGAGAGAAGACATGGGTCCCATCTTTGAGGGATTAAAAATCTAGTGAGGAGAAGACATAGTCCCACTGATTCTTGTAATAGATCCTGGTACATGTTGCAATAAAGGGGTACGAGGAACATGCTCTTTGGGGTCCAGGCTGAAAAACAGCAAAACCATGGAAATCAGATAAGATGTTAGTCAGGGTGACAAAAGTTGATTGGACATTCTGAAGCCATGTACAATGCTGTACACATTGCAGATGCTCAATAAAGTAATTACTGATAACTTATTCACATTTTTGTAAAATATGTGAAAGGGGAGATTAATGAATGAGGTCTGGAAATGTCCTTAGTTCTCTAATGCTGCTATGAGAGATGCCACAAGGAGGTGGCTGTAATAAACAGAACTTTCTTATTTCACGATTAGGAGGCTGGAAGTCTGGCTTCAAAGCATCAGCTCTCAGGGAAGATTTTCTCTCTCTGGTTTGGGGAAGGCCCTTGTGTCTTCAGCTTCTATTCCTTTGGTCATTGATGATCATCAGATGTTTTGACCATGTGTTTCCCCTCCCCCCTTCATGTTTCCTTCTTCCTCTGTTTTCTTAATCTGCTTTCATATCTCAAAAGAAATGGATTTAAAACATGCGTTTTAGGAACATGTTAAAGGGAGCTTTGGTGACCTAGGGGTAAGATGCTATACTGCAAGTCTAAGTGCACCTGATTTGAATCCACCAGCTGCTCTGAGGGAGAAGGATGGGCAGTTTCCTCCCGTGTGATTAACAGCCTCTGAAAACCTGCTGGAAGATCAGCTATGGGTTGATTCCTACTCGATGGTACATACAACAACAACAACAACAACCACCCTATCCTGCCTCATTAGCATAACAGAAAAAAAAGACATTTCCAAATGGGGTTATAATTACACAATTCAAACCATAACGGGGTTTGAATACTTTTCATTTCTTGGTTCCATTATCTTCTCTGTTCACACTGATCCAAACTATACCATACTCATTTCTAGTCACGTGTAGCTTTTGTTCATTGTTAAAAGTTTTGAGTCACACACGAGAGGAACAAAGAGGGTATGATCAGCAAAACGGCGCTGAGAATTACTTGTAGCTGAATGTTATTTTTCTGAAAAGGTTTTTTAATTTTTCTCCCTCAGCTGTATGGGACATCCAGTGTTTGCCATTGCCCTTTAAATAAACAGCACAGGCTTGCATGTCCCTGATTTGGACTCACACTGAAGATTTGAGACACACTCTTAAAGTTTACTCCTTAGAAAACGCCCACAGCCTGAAAAGTAGCAAGAAGTCCCAGAAGCCGGCAGGTCCTTCCCATGACCCACAATGTAGGCCACCTCCCTGGAGTGGGGGTGGCTGTCATTCTTGGCTGCCTTCCTGCGGGGGCAGCGACTGGTGTGTGACACTTCACCTTGTTCAGCAATTGGCTTACCACACAATACATGCATTTCAAAAGGTTACACAATGAGCGGTATAGTGTGGACGGCTTGATTTTCACAAATGGCATCTCAGGCTTCACATTGTCTCTTTCTGGAGGCATTTTCCCTGTTCATGGATTGAATTCTAACCATTACACTCCAAACCAAGTCTCAACTAAGCTTGAATTTCAACAAAGTGCTCTTGTATACCACGGTGATCAGCGTATCTCATAATGGATCTCGAATAAGATAGACACTCTTAGACAGTGGACACAGTCCTCTTGGAAGAATGGCCTCAGGGTTAAGAGCTCAGGCTTTGGAGTTAATGTTCACACCCTGGGTTTACAAGTTACTGTATAATATTGGAACATTTATTTACCACCCATAGTCTAGGATTCTCACCTGTGAAATGGAACTAATTGACAATACAACCTTCAGGGCTGGTGTGTGAGTGAAGTCAGCTAAGTGAGTGTAAAGCACTCATTACTGGCCCTGATGTGTTCTCAGTAGGCATTGTTGCTGTAGTCCACACACCATGCATGTGATTGGCTGGAAGTCACCTTGGAGGGCTAGTTGTTGCTACAGCAAGGCTGGAGGGAGCAGGATCATGAATCTAGATCCTGACTGAAAATTAAGGAACTCAGAGACTCGTCTGTGGAGCTCATGTGAAGAAACACGTGAGGGTCTCATCCAAAGTCTAGAAAATAGAGATTTAGAGAGTTAGAACCCGACACGTTTTTGACAACAATGAGGAAGAGAGCTGGGCTTTTCTGGTGAGCTCTAGTGGCGAAGTCAGTAGGGAGTGGCTCTGCTATCCCAAAGGTGGATTTTTTATGGCAGTTTGAATCCAGCAGCATCTCTTCAGGAGAAAGATTTCTACTAGAGCTTCCCAAGAGCCCTATTCCCAGGAGAGCGAACTAGAAAGGAAGAGCATGCCCATCTTACCTGCTGAAAAGGATGATGACACGAAGATGGGCTGGCCATCCATGTCTGAAGTGACTGGGCTATGAAAATCCTAGAAACAATTCAGAGGAAATCTGCTAAACATAGCACTAGAGGCAGAGCATTGGAGCATTGGAGTGGCAGATATGAAAGAAAATGAGGAGGAACTATAAATATTCTTAGTTTTTCTTCAACCTCTTGTGGGCTAAAAACTCATTGCTGGGTAATTGTCAGATTTTGTAGGTAGAAAGCTTTTCTGCTAACTGAATGCATGTTGAATCACTGACTTTTTAAAGCTTTTTTGTTAGTTATGAGGAATTTTGATAAACATTATGTGGGGCACATATGTCCCAGAGGACTCCAGTTATATGATAGGATGAGACATGGAAAAAAAATTATTTGAATGTTACTTAGTTTTTTAAAAAAAATTTAAAATATTACTTCATTTTGAACATTGTATCTTCCTTATAGTCTGAGGATATAGTAAATGTGCTTACAAGCCTTACTTCTCTGAATAGAAGCCCAAGGAGA